GCTGTGATCTGCGAAGGGAAGGGATAATATGCCACGAAGGAAAAGGTCGATAGCTGATGTACAGGATGGCGCCGAATCTCATATTTCAACGTAGGTATACCTCCCGGGGCATAACAGGTGACACGTACAAAACACTAATGTTTGTTTGCGCGTCTGGGAACAGAAAACAATCAATAAATCAATCCGAGGTTGCACTATTTACTCTTGGACAAAGCTTAAAGAAAATGACGCTCATTTGCTACTGAGCGACATTCGAGTCGCAATCTGCTTCCTTAATGTCCCGTCTTCCACCACCAGACGATCTTTTGATGGCCAAACAAGCTTCAGTAAAGAGTTCCTACAAAACAATATACTGCGGGGGTGGCCAACTATTGTGAGTTTGAGGATTGCTTTTCAATTAAGACGGTAGTAAAGATGCATTTTTACACACTATTAATAAAAACAAACTTTTACTATAGTAATTACAGAAATATTACATTACTGTTTTCGATCTTGCATAGTAAACTAGGATTTATTTTTTCAGGAAAGGGAAGATGTAGTAGATAAAAATTCAGTTGTAAAATAATAATGTTTCAATACAATTATAGTTTATCAAATAATATTGAATAATAATATACTTTTTACAATTTCCGTTCTCTCATACGTACATTGTATACATGTCAGAAAGATGTTCCCTTGTTTCGTATTATCGAATTTCAAAACTCACAGAAATTGTATCATCTTTTGCAGATTGATACCAACACACATACCTTTGCGCCCTTCACTCCTAATAACCATTTTTAGTTGTAAAATAATATTAATAATAATTACATGTTCCGAAATATGAAAATGAATGGCTATGAATATGTTCTTCTTCATGTCCAATCAAATTCGCAAAATATTTCTCTCCTAATTAATTCTGATTGTGAAATGGGTAATATTCAGAAAATACTTCTGAACTTAACAGTATTGCCTGAAGTAAAATTATTAAGGTAAATTTAAATTTTGATTTTCTATTTTATCTTAAAGTGAAAGATGCTTGTACATTCATGTATACTATACATTTCGTTTTAAACAGAATTACGCTAAATCTGTTGAAACGACAATTCACAGTTAAATGTTCAATTTCTCATTCCATCTGTATAGAGAAAACTCGTGAACAGAGCCTCATTTCCAAAAAGCAAATTTGTATGTTTGTTAGATTGAGAAAGGCAAACGAGCGGTGAATGAAGATACGTGGGATGCAGTGTAATTGTTAATACGAATCGTAGTAGGCCTCAGATTTTCATGCAAATGCATATTTTTGCTTAGTCGGAGAAGCCAGAAGTTCTTTTTTCTATTCGAATTGGAGTCTATTTCCATTTTCGGTGAGACGTGTTCTTACGATTTGCCAATTTCTTTGCTTATTGGTGTGTTTATTGTGCAGTGTTTTTGGTTTGGTTTATTGTTTGACGCTATTAACAATAACGAATGAGTATCAGGTCGGAAAGAACCCATAAAAGTCTTACCTTTACTCGCTGTAGATATGTAGAGTTAATTAATTTCAAAATGGAAAGAAAGAAAATTTTTCGAGGATTCGTGAAATTTCCTTCCCCATTCATCCCTCTATATCGGTCCCCCCGCTCCACCTTTCGCTTGAGGGTACTCGGCCTAGATAAAATGCCGGTCAAATCTTGCTAAACTTCACATCCCATCGCGTTCACTTCCCACACAATTCCCGTTAAAATTCCGCTTTCAATCCGAGATGGATTTGAGGTAGAAAGTATGTTGGCGGCAAGTTGCTTTGTAGTTCTCCCGTTTTCTCTACCCAGTGTCTACGGAATGTTATTTGGAGGGTGGCTGCATATATTAAAATAGTCGAAGTTGGAGAGAAGGTAGAATAGGTTTGCTGCATCTAAATAGGACTAAGATGAGACTTATGAATACACAAACTAAGCCCCTTGTGGACCAGTCGAAACAACAAATGAAATATGATAATTAGGGGGAAGGTATTAACGAAATGTCGTTTGTTTTCTTTTCACTTTACTATGCCTTTTAGATCAGACTTTAATTTTATGTTGCGGCAAAAGAAAATGACCCATTTGTATACATTTTTCATCGCTTTTAACCAAGTTTTTAACATTTCCCCGTCACTTTTTTCTGATTTCTTCGATTTTAATATCAATGTAATGGTACTTGCTTGAAATAATATTTACTACAATAGGTGCAACATATGTTCTCCACAGAATCCTGAGCATGATCGAAAGTCATTCCATCATGTTCCTAAGTAGCCGATTCGATTTCTTCGCTCAGAAATTGTAATGTCAGCCCTTGTGAGTACGTTATCCAAGTTCCTGTGTTGCCTATTAGCAACATCTGTCGGTTTCGTCGATTTTTGGCAATAATTCAAGGCAGATTTGCTGGTAAAGAACAGTCCAAATCAAACGTTTGCAAGCTGGGTTCACTTAATGAAAGCCAGAAGCGTCAATTGTATATCTAATAGCTAGAGGTTTTCATCTGAATTGATAATTTTGATTAATTTGTTGGTGTCATTTTGCTTTGCCTTTAGGGAATGATGATGACATTTTAAGAGCATTTATTGTTTATTTTTGGCGATGTTGTATGTCAACAAACTCCACACCTTGCGATAATATATCACGTATTTCATACACGTGTTTTTTTTATTTTTATTTTTTTTTACGTGGGCAGGGGAAAATCTTCTAAAGACACAGCGGGGCCCGCAACCCGCAGCCGCTTCATGATCCGTTTGTGAACGTTCTGCTCCTGCATTTGCCTTGTATTGATCGGATAAACCATGGAAAATATGGATAAAGCAGCCAGCCGCTACGATTCTCCTCCAGACATTCACTGAATTCGATTAAGCTATGAAGTTAATGTGGAAAATCCGTCACCTCTCTGGTTCGAACCCTAGGGTCTCAGGGTCAGCGATGCTAAAGGGGCAAAAGAGCATTGCTTCTGATACAGCGCAGACAATGACCACTGAAATCACCGACAATATATGACAGACAAACATACGCTTTCTTCCCAACCTGCACTCATACGCAGGTAAGACATTTATAATACAAACATCTTAATATGTTTTTAGAACTCAAATACATTCAACGTTTGTAAAAGGATAATACTTTGTAACTAACCCCGTATGAGTTCGGATTTACATTCCCTTAATCCTACCGTTTCATGGATAATAAAGCATACGAAACAATGATCTAGTGTAATGGGCTTGCTGCAGCAGTGCTAAATGGAATGTTTCTTCGGAGAACTCCGCCAACGAGGTTATGGAGAGATTCACAGCGACATTTTTACTGCGTTTGATGGTCATTGCCTACTCCATCAGATTTCAGTGGACGTCATAAATGAAGAAATACTGAAATGTGTTGCATAACCTGAAATGTTGATCGGTGCGACTACTTAAAGGGTTTCCATGAATGAGTCATAAATGTTTAACGGAGCATATGGAGACAAGTGTCAATCATTAACGCGTAGAGATAGGGCAGCGTGTAGGGCTTTGAAGCACAGAGTAATTGTGAAGTTTGTGTAAAACTTTATTTAGAAGAGATTTTGTACTTCGATAAAATGCTACATAGGTATGGGCTCGTAGGCATCCGCGGCCGGAGTCAATGTATTCTTGGCTACCCGGGATGAGCCGCGTCACGGTCAATGTTACTGACGTTTCGGCCATCTTGCTGTGACCTTCTTTGAGCAGTATAGCTCTGAAGAAGACCACAGCAAGATAGCCGAAACGTCAGTACAATTGACCGATACGCTGCTCATCCCGGATAGCCAAGAATACATTGCTACACAGGTACTTCGTTTCCAGTGGTTTTGTACCAACAGATCTCTTCAAATAAACGGGAACGGGATTCCTAAAATATGTTTAGATTGCTAATGACTTGTGTCTACACAGGGCACCTCTCCTTTACCAACCACGTCCTGGAAGTTAGCACAAATATTTCATTCAAAATAAAAACTGAATCACGCATAATACGCCATTTTTGCCTTTCTCATGATGTGAAAATACACACGGAACAACATGCCACATCTCTAAATTCGCTAATATTGCTAGTATACACACAAATCTATATCCAGGATTTACCGCTTTTTATTCCTAATTAATTAGTGAAAAAATCAGAATTGTTTACCAATCGTTTATAAATGAAAAGCGGCTAATTCTGAACATATTTTGACAGTGATATTAATGTTTTTGGGATGTTTTAACGTCTTGAGAAATTAATGGTTTTGTGATCATATTTTTTAAATGAAAGAGGTATCAATCTGCAAGCCTGAAGCTCTTTGATTTCGCCATGATAAAGTACAAATTAAAATAAACTCAACAAATGAAAACTGAGCAAAAAGTAATGCAGAACTTTGTTAGGACTCGTATCTAGTTTTATAATCATCTGGAAGTTTTCACCAACTTCTAACAATACCTCCACAAATTCTCTGATTTACCTCGACTTTCAAGAGCAATGAAATTCCCCGAATTTTTGTTTTCCAGAAAGGGGCCATCCTGTGGGAGGTAAGTTTTACTTTGCTCATGAGAAGTCGAATTTCAAATGTGATATATAATCATTTCCAATCTTTTTGTTTGTTGGTTCTAACTTCAAACATTTTAGCATTCTTTGATTATAATTACATCTTGAGAATTGTGTGATTTTTATAAATTGAGTGATGTAGTACATATCTAATAATTTGATTTGACCATTTTATTACAAGTTAATTACGCATCAATATAAAGTTCTTGTGGGGGAAAAACGTCCCCCCTCGCATATTGTCTCTATTTTTAAAAAAAATCAAAGGCTTTTTTTAAAATTGAAGATTTTCTTCTTCAAAATTTAACCTTAAAATTTAATTAGCAAAAATATTTAAAAAAATATTTTTGACACATTTTTGTTTTTATTATTTAATTTAATGTATTTTATTTAACTAAACCGTAAAAAGGCTATTTTTGGATTGGTTTGTTTAAAAACAGTATTAGTCAATAGTAGAAATATGCTAAAAAATAACGACTCATTATTGTGAGATATGAATATAAAATATTTTATTTACTTTTCGCTTCATAGAAGTGAAGAAATTCAGTCTTACATTCTCAATGAGAAATACATAAAAATATTTCATGGCACTTATTACACAATTGGATGTCAGTCAGCCATTTGCACACGACGTAAGTTTATAAATAATGTTTTTTGGTGAGATACAGGAGTTGTAATAAAAATGACAAAAACGTTTACACCAACACAGTTACCACAGAAACACACTATGATGAAACCCTTTTTCTGTGCGCAGGGTATTTTATTTAAAAGTACAAATACCACGCTGAAAAGTTATCTTTCAAATGTCAAATTGCTGACAGCTTCACCTTGCATCACTTCATGATTGAATGCATTTCTTCCTTGTTTCACACTGAATTATCCAAAATGAGTTTAGGTATAAAACACTTATTTCTTGGATGATACACCAGTGCCGAAAATGCTGTGCTTCATTGAGAGTAAGCGCTGTGTATAATCTGTAGAGAGAGTCCGGTTCAGTCACGTTTGGTGTAGAACATTATATATCTTGAAGCTTCTGCGTTCAGTATTTAATGTAGTACTTCTATTTATCAGGAATCAGCTCCTAAAAATGAAACAGAACGAAGTACAGATTTTACTTGAGAAGAAAGAAATTCGTTTTACTTTCTCGCTGCCGCTTAAGCAGTAGAGAAAAAGTTATACAATGCTGCGCGAAAATCGATGAATTTTCGGCAGAATAACTCTTATTACAAAGCCCTGGTAACGAAAAAGTGGATAAATCCAGTTGCTATATTTAGAAAAAAATCCCTAACACATGTTGTAGCCAGAATTCGTATTTGTGGGTTCTTGATACCAAAAAATCGATTGACGTCAAAGTATCTTTCCGTCCGTCCGTCCGTCCGTCCGTCCGTCTGTCTGTAAACACTAGCTGCTAAACCGTTCAACCGACTTTCTCCAAAATTGATATTCACCAATTGATAGTGTGAAGGACGTTTAAGAGAATGGCGCAGGTCTCATTTTCCTTAAAACCCGTGATTTTTCAAAAACTGCAAAAATTCAAAACTTCCTACAACTACAATTATGAAGATGAGAGATTTTTCACTTAATGAAATATGATCCTTAGAGATAGATTTTGAGAAATGTAATGTACAGTTATTCTAGAATTTGAGTCCTTTTCGCGTAATTCTGCGTGAAAATACAGGTTATAAAGTACGTGATGTTTAGCACCACTAGTTTATAAATGTACCGTTATGATGTTTCTCTTGTAAACAATCATTAAAAATTGGAGATATGTTTGTAAGTAATTTTATTAAGCGAAGTATTTTGCACTAGAATGGGTTTAACAGGCTGCTTTTCTAAAACCCAAGTTCCCATATTCAAACCCAACTAGGACCGAGGCCAAATGGCATGTAATGCCTATTCACGCCTGTGGCATGTAAAAGATTCAGGCCAAATTGCTCGGCAAAATTGCTTCCTCCGAAAACCTCCTAATCAAATTCAAAATTCTAGGGAACAGTATAGTAATGGATAATTAATATTGAGACTGTTGTTGGGTCGATACCCTGACGGCGAACGTAGAAGTCAAAACATTGGTGGTTGGTAGCATTGAAAATGGACAACAATTCATCTCATGTCAGGGGGCGTTCAGTATTCCTCATATTACATGTATTCAAAGCTCGAGAATGAAAATAAAAATAAATATTAGTAATACTACAAAATCGTACGTTTTGTTGAAATGAAACAATTATGTTTACAACTTCGCAATATGAAGACGGATCTACCCAAATAATGAAAGTATTTTCTAAATTGATCAGTCCCAATAAAGTACAATGAAATTCATTGTTTTTCAAAACTTGATATAGTATTGTTTACGTTATTTCTGATTAATTTGATAGATTTTTTCTCTCATGGGTATTGATGATGCAGGATGAAGATATTAAAATGGCATTAAAGTTGAAATAAATATTATAAAATTTATAAAACTCACCCACAAATTTCATTATTGCCTCTTCTTCTTTTTGCTATGGACTAGCTCAGATGGAAAGAGAGCCTCTTTAACATCATTGGTAGATACTTTATTCTCTCTTCAACTATTTAAGAGACGTCTGCCTTTTAATATTTATTTGTTCGCTTAATTATTTACAGCGTACAGTGACTAGAAATCAATCTTTGGACACTGTCCTTTGATTTCTTTGGCTAGTTTTCTGACATAAAATAACTTCCAAGTTAGCAGGTTAATGCGTAAAACAATTGTTTATACTCTTGCAGTCTTCTGAGCCGGCGAGCAGACACACTCGTTGAGTCAGTGAAAAAATTAAGCAACACTTATTGCCATTGTTTTCCTTATATTCTTGAAAGAAATATGTATTATTTAAATGATATGTAGAAGCATGAAATATCTAGCCTGAAAATATAACAAGAAATAGTTTCATTAGTAGACGTGATAGTAATAAAACGTTAGGAAATTTACAATAAGAGAATTCGAAATAAAATTATGAAAATTGTACTGTTTTAATGAGAGTTCGTTTATAGAGCTGTCGTATGTAACGACGTGTCGCATGATTGCAGATAATATTTGTTTTTAAATTAAAGTATGAAAATTTCAAGTTGTTTCTTCGATGACAGCACATTTCTTATAACATCACTTCGGCGTGAATTTGCGACCACTCTGAGAAAAATAATTACGTATGCTGACATGCTATAAAACAGTTTCAAAGCGTTTCTAATTTTACCTAATAAAAGATAATAAAACTGCTTTGTAGCAGCGGCAGTTATTAGAATTGAAAGCAAATCGGTGAAACACCGTCTTTAAAACAATCCTTTGTAGTTTTATTTTAACTTGGAGAAGAAATAAATCTTCATTGCTTCTCTCTCATTTGTAACATACATATTGTACTATTTTGACGAAAATAAATCAAATAAAATTACATCTAATTATGAGCACAAGTAGAAAATTTTTATTATCCGCCATTATTGCGCGTTATAATCGAAATCCAGAATAATTGCACGACACTTAAACCTAATAATTGAGATAAACAGTATAGCTAATGCTTACCTTCCTGTAAATACATCTAAAACGTCGAAACCTTGGTGGCATGATTTGGTATTCTTGGACTAGAGTCTGGAGATATGTGCCTCATCGTGTACCTAGGCTCGCCAACTGACATGCTGATGTACCTCTGCGTCAACGCGACAGGGGATGGGCTGGCCGACGAAGTGTCTTGCGTTTGCGAGCTGGTCTGCCTTATGGGGCTCAGGTACGCGTTGCCGATCTTGGGGGAATCCCCCTTGATCGCTTCGATTTGCAGAGTCGATTTCTCGAGCTCCGTCGGGTCCACGGAGATAATTTCCGCGGGAGTGTGAAGTAGTTTTTCTTCTTCTTCCATGGCACTACTCAGTGTGAGACAAAGGCTGGAGTCCTTTCTGGATTTGTGAGGCGTCAAGTAGTTCACGGAATCTGTTGGCAGCATGGTGAGATTCCCATAGTGGACGTCAGCGTCATCTAAGACAAAAGCATAATAAACTTACACATTTGCATTAAATTCAGGATCTAAAGTACTATTCAGCTCTATACAAATAATGGAACTTGAATACGCGTTCACAAGATTTTACGTTGTTCGTGATGATACGAAAGTTAACATTTTCGTGAAGGTTTTCTGGAATTGAGCACGTTTTAATTTTCGTCAGTTACAAACAATCACAAAGGCAACGTTGAAGAATAAAATCGACCAAATGTATGCTTAAACAAAATTTTCTCCTCGGGACAAATAGAGAAGATTCACATCGCGAACCTTTTAGAAGGGTCCTGAAGACAGTTGTAGGTAGGTGTAAGTATAGGAGGATGTAGGCAGTAGTGGAGTGGAAAGCAATTGTTAATAAATCTAAGGCACAATCTGAAATATTGTTTTAAAATAAACAGCGCAAATAACTTTCACAAGCCAGAAGTTAATGTTTCAGACACTGTTCACTACATGACTAACGTACATTATCTTAACACATATCACGCCGTTTGGAAATATATTTTGAAGATTAGAGGAGGCACTGGTGGCTTGAAAATGTGCATGAACTCAGAAAACAAATGTTTAATTACTTATCATAGACACTTACCCAATATGTCGCGTGCACTGGATAAACTTGTAAAGTACGTCATATTGTGTACCGAACGGGGATTTAAATCTAAATAATCCACGCCATCTTGAAGCATTTTCTCGAAAATTGACGTCAGTTCCTTGAAAGTAGGTCTGTCGTCTGGACTTTCATTCCAGCAAGACCGCATTATTCGGTATCTGCGTAAAAATAAGATGTCTCAGCATTTAATTAACATTAAAATTATATTCGCAATAATATTTAAGCATGGTACGCTCTAAGTTTGTAATTTCTTTTTGATACTAAAATTTCTGATTTATATGTTCATTATTTTCAGAAAGACTTAACAAATAATGAAAATCATAACATAAATCCTAACCAAGACTAAATGATAAATCTACATTTGTAGAGTAGGCAATAGTCTAAAAAAGAAACTTACAAGGCAGGAGAGCAATTATCAGGTCGTTGCATACGATAACCAGCCTTGAGAAGATGAAATAAGTTGTGTACAGCAACGCCAGGGTATGGAGAGGCTCCAAGAGTAACTAATTCCCACAAGAGAACTCCAAAACTCCACACGTCAGACTTGCTCGTGTACATGTGATCAGCCAAGGATTCTAACGACATCCATTTTACGGGAACTGAAAAAAATAAGTCAAATGTTTTTCTAAAGTTGAAAAGAGGTAAAGCCAATACTATTTTCCACCTGCATAAAACCCCACATTTTCCAGCTTACCTCTCCCTTTGCTTCTTTTCATGTACGTGTCGTCTTCATACACATCCCTTGTAAGACCAAAATCTGATATTTTACAAATTCCACCTTCGGCAACTAAGACATTACGTGCAGCCAAATCTCTATGCACCAGCTGAAAAGGAAGGGACAACTGTAAATTTTTAACACTAATTGGAAAATAATATGTATCATAAACATGAGTGTATGGAAGTTGATTAATTGAAAGAAACGAAAGTGAAAAGTTTGAAAGAAAAAAAATGTTTAAATTTTTCAGTTTCAAGTACTTTGATATGAAGTATGCATTGCTCTTAGCGATTTGTCCCAAAATACAGTTCATCTTTTGGCTAATCAGTACTTGGTGACACAATTCTCTCTTCACAACATAAAGTGTATCCATGAATCTCCTTTAGAAGAAATGTGTGGGAAAGTGCAACTATATTAATGTCACTTTAGTACTCGTGCTTCTGTCATTCATTGAAAACATTATACGTTCTTTAATTAAATGAAAAATGAAAAGATACAACTTCGATGGGACTACCATTTTTGTGAAAACCAGGACGTTTTTGAATAAAAGTGAGTATGTGGGTGGCTAAGAACCTTAATATCGCTGAAGTACGTGAGACGTGTGAGCAGATGCTGTGTAAGCCATTGTTAGTGGACGGCGCGCACTCATCATGATATCTTTGAGATAGCCTATGCCCCGTGTGGGTGAAGTGTAAGTAGAGAGCGCACACGCACCTTGATGCCATTGAGATAGCCTATGAACTGTGAGGGAAGTCCTTAGTGTTGCTGAGGTAGCCCCGTGTGGGCGAAGTGCAGGTTGCAAGCGAGCACGCACCTTGATGTCGCTGAGGTAGCCCATGCCCCTTGTGTGTGTGTGTGTGTGTGTGTGTGTGTGTGTGTGTGTGAAGATCAGATAGCAAGCGAGCACGCACCTTGACGTCGCTGAGATAGGCCATGCCCCGTGTGTGTGTGTGTGTGTGTGAAGTGCAGGTAGCAAGCGAGCACGCACCTTGATGTCGCTGAGGTAGGCCATGCCCTTGGCGATCTGCCACGCGAAGCCCAGCACGTCGCGGGGCGT